ATCATGAAGATACATTTTATTTGCTAATGCTTCAAGGAAATTCATTTCTATGTAAGTTTCATCATTTTGTAGTATTTTTTTAAATTCTTTCTTCCTTTCATCTTTTCTTCTTCTTCTTCTTCTTCTTCTTCTTCTTCTTCGTGGTGATTCACCATTTAATGGCTGTTCTAATATATTGTCGGCAACGACTACGTTTCTTATACACGAAGTGTCGATAATAACATTTGTCGGTGAAACGAGAGTCGACGTAAACACTAGCCGGTGATTTCAACGTGTCGGTATGTAAACAATGCCGGTGAAATGCGGTGTCGCTGAAATCGCGTCGATGAAAACATTGTCGGTGAAATAATTGTTGGCGATTTCAAGGTAACCTACGATAGACTCCTTCCGTCTAATTACAACATTCCTCTTTATTAATTAAAATGTACAGTAAATCGTAATAAGGATGGTACGAATATTTGATTTGTTCATTTCCGCTTAGAAATGCGCTCGGCGAGCAATGCAGGATGCGATCTATGCTGGAGACTTCAACGCATGGAGAGGCTTGTAGTGCCATACCAACTGCAACATCACTTACTATTTAGTTGGCTCTTGGACACGCCAAACGTGTTCGCGAATTCTAATCTTTCTTATTAACCGCTTCGCTCTCACACGGACGTGTTTTGTCACGCGACACCGATACTGTACGTGTTAGGTTACAGACGAGATATTTCGCGACGTCGTGCCGCTTGTGCGGTGCCACGGACGTGTTATCCCGCGACGCGGGATGTTTTTGTCGCTAAACTTTTCCAAATTCTGATGAAGCACGCGTGTTTACTTGCTGCGACACCGCACGAACGGTATCGCGTCGCGGAATAACACGTCCCTGGCACCGCACAAGCGGCATTATGTCGCGAGATATCTCGCCTGTGATCTTATATGAACGGTATCGGCGTCGCGACGTAACACGTCAGCAAATGCGGAGCGGTTAACTTTACAAATAAAAGAATAAAATAAATAAAATAACTTTACAATTAAAAGAAACTGAAATCGACTCCAAAAGATAATCGAATATTCTTCGTAAGAGAATAACTTGTGAACCGAGCGACTTGTGAAATTATTGGAAACGAATCGTAACATCCGCCGTAATCATTAAAAAAAATTTTTGGAATGGATATGACAATGACATACAGACAGCTAATGTTTTTGCGTTATTATTGACACAAAAATAGTAAATAAAAGATCGAAACCAATTGTTCTTACTTTGTGTATCGATCACGAAGGAGTCCAACTTTGGGCAGTTCGATCGAATAGAATAAAGCGTGTTAAAAACGTTCCTTTTTTTGACAATCTGTCTTAGAATTATACATATAATTATAGTTCATATAAATTATACAACAGGGAAGTAATTAGTAGCGGTCTCACAAACCGACGATAGTAATCGAGAGTTAAAAAACAATATTTATGCTTTGGGTCCAAACGGACCCGGGTCTCTCCCGTCGAGTATTAATAAGAATCACCGAATATATATATTAGGTCTACCGGAAAGTTCTGTCCGATAGTGTCACTTCAAGTTTCAATCCATATGCACATGTTGATTTCAGACATATATGACTATCTCTCTTTATCATTGCATTTACACACATGTACTCTCCTAAATAAACTGAAACAAAGATGTCTCATGTCATTATTAAGTGAGACACGATCGTGAAAACATGGCTACCGATGATAATGCCG